AACAGAACTTCCGCCAAGAAAGGATGGCATTCCAGGCAGCAGGAACTGACCGGTCAAAGGCATGGCATGAATCACATGCGTGCTGCAGCTGGGGCCTGGGCCCAGGGAGGGGGAGGGGACACCAGACGGAGAGGAAGGCTGACAGGTTGACTGACTCTTGCAAAGGACCATTGGTGACGTTTGCAGCGAGTCCTCCCCCTGGTGGCAGCACTGAGCACCTACACCACTTTGCACCTTCCTTCCTTCCTTTGGAGGACCAGGGCCCTTTATGGGTGGCGGCACCGCAATCAGCGTTTTACATGCTTTATCTCCTTTAAATCTCGCCCAGCACCTCCAGGCAGGTGCTCTGTCCCAAGGGCTGAGCGAGGGCAGGTGAGTGAGAGGAGTGTGTTACTGCAGGATTGGCTCCCATCTTTTTAAAAAAATGGTAATATTTTGTTCATCATGAACTTTTTTGCATTAACTTTGATTTTTTTAAATATATTTTTATTGATTTCAGAGAGGAAGGAAGAGGGAGAGAGAGAGAAACATCCATGATGAGAGAGAGTCATGGATCAGCTGCCTCCTGCACGCCCCACACTGGGGATCGAGCCCACAACCCGGGCATGTGCCCTTGACTGGAATCGAACCTGGGACCCTTCAGTCCGCAGGCCAACGGTCTATCCACTGAGCCAAACCAGCCAGGGCATCTTTGATTTTTTTTTTAATTGCATTAATATATTATTTATCCTGATTGCTGAGGGTTTTTTAATGCCCTTTTGAGATTAACACCTTAGTTGCCTCCCTGCTGTCCTTCCCATTTTCGAGGTGAGGAAACTAAGGCTCGGGGACGTGAGGACACTGCGAGGTCCTGTGTCTTCCAAACTCAACGGGGCCTGGAGGCGGGACTGTGCTCAGCACGGCGCGGTGGCCGCAGCCTTGCTCCCCACTGTCCTCCCAGCAGCCCCTCGAGGCCAGGAGGGCACAGACCGATGGCTCTGGGTCTGACGAGGAAAACGGGGTTCAGGGGGCTGAGGGGGATTCTGTCCCCAGGCGGCCTGGACATGGCCTCTGCGGCATCTCCTGGTGCTTTCAGTGGCCCCGCCTCCCACCCCATCATCACTCGGACCGCCCTGGGCAGTGGGCTTCTCGGGCCTGGGCGGGCTCGCTGCCCCGAAGTGACCCAGCCCTTCTGCCCACAGACCCTCAAGATCCGGCTGTGCCAGCTGCAGAAGAGGTGTCACCGCAGGCAGGAGCAGCAGTGGCAGTCGGGACATGGTGTCGCCTTCCAGAAAGACACGGGCAGCCATAATGTGAGTCCAGTCTGCTGGCCCAGGGGCGGGGCAGGGGCGGAGGCTGCTGTCTCCTCACCCCCAACACACACACACACACACACACACACACACACACACACACACACCACTTACCCGCTTGCACCATGGTGACTGCTAGCTTTCGAAGGGCTTCTCTAAGATGGGGCAGGTGTCACTTTACCGGCGGGAAAAACTGCAGCCACAGACCCAGCTCTACCAAGAACCGGAGCTGGGATCCCCGGCCCAGGCCCAGCGCCCGGCATATGCTGGCTGCTTGATCAGTCCTTCTGTCATGCCTGTGATGAATAATAATGACATTGAAATGAGTGGTTGCTGTGCACTATCTTTGATCATTACCAGGGAGGGCTTAGCCCAAGGCCTGACCCAGAATAGGCACTCCGAACTATTGCTTGGTTTTACCCATACCCATTTCACAGATGAGAAAAGTGGTGCCGAGGAGAGCAAGTCATGGTCGAAGTTCATGACCAGGGCCAGGATTTCTGAGCTTAGGCTCTCGAGCTGCTTCTTACTGGCCTTTGGAATGTGAATTCCTGACCCCCGCCCCCAGTCCTCACCCACGAAAAATGCTCAGAACTGTGGCCTCCCAGCCTCAGGGGCTGGGGCTGCTGGAAGGGCACAGGGATTGAGGCCTGGGGCCCAGGGCTGCTCTGGACACACTCCACCTGGGCAGGGTGTGGTCATCGGATGTAGGACCTTCCCAGGCCCCGTAGGACCCTAATTTGGAAGACATGAAAGTTGGGGTCTGTGGGCTGCTGGCTCCCAACCAAGGAGCTTGGAGAGGGAGTAGGCTGGCACAGGTAAGAGCGCCTTCTGGGTGTTTTTAAGGTGGGAAGCAAGGCTGCTGCAGCTGATGGCCACCCCGGAGGCCTGAAGTCCAGGACGCAGGCGCTGCCGGGAGTGAGGAGCGCTGGGTGCCTCCAGGCCCCTGCCCAGCCCCTGCCCCAGGTATGGACCACCGACATCTCCAGCCCGGAGGACCCTCAGACCCTGCGGGCAGAAGGGACTGAATAAAGCCCTTGGGGAGTGGGGCACAGACCAGGATGAGCAGGTGGCTCCTGGCTCCCCATCGCTTCTCTGACCTGAGAGAGCTGGGGCCAGGGGGCCAGGGGGCCAGGGGATCCTGGGAGAGGGCTGAGCCGCTGCCTCCCCCTCCTCTTCCTGCTCCTCTGCAGAGCCAGCTGCTCAACTATATGCAAATGGCCATCGACAACATGGCCCAGCAG